GGCGTCCCTGTGCAGCCTCCGCTGCCGATGGGGGAGGTGGAGCCGGGGCCCGCGGGCCCGCTCGAGCCCCCGGAGCCACCCGAAGCGCCCGCGAGCCGCCTGCCGGGAGGGATCCGGGTCCTGAAGGTGAGGCGGGAGGGCTGGGGAGGGAACAAGGGCGGGGAGAGGCCGCCCCTGCTCCGCGCAGTGCCCGAGGCAGTCGGCGACCCCCGCGCCGCGTCAGTCCGCTTCAACGCCCGGCTGCCCCGCAGTCCGGCTGGGGGCGCCGCGGCCCCCGCTTCGGCCTCCGCGCCTGGCCCCCACCTCGGCCTCGGCCGCCTCCGTCTCCCCTCCGCTGCCCATCCCTGGGCGCGCGCCACCCGTCTCGCAGGCCCACGCCTTCGGTCCGGCGTCCGCCCCGCCGCCGCCGCCTACCCGGCTCCTCTGGGACCCGGGGGCTCGCCTCGGCCGCCCTCGGCCTCGTTCAGGGCCGGGGACCGGTCGCCCGTGGCCCGAGAGCGGGGCTGGAAGTACGCAGGGCTTTCTCCCCGGACACCTGAAGACATCACCCCAGCGGGAGGATGGCGGCGGTGATTGGCCGGGCGCTGCCGTGTGCTCGGGGCTACGCCGGGTGGAGCGGGCCGACTCTGCCCTCGGGGCTCGCCACCGAAGTTAGGACCCGGCTCTGCGCTCCGAGGCGCCGGCCTGCAAGCTCCACCTGCCCGCCTGGAGAGAGAACCCGCGGAGGAGCTTAATCTCGGGGAATCTCTGGGCGTGTTGTAGCAGGGAGGAGGGGTTCGGCAAAAAGGGCATTCCTGTTTGCGGGAGCCGGGCTAACAATCCAGGGAGACGGTAATGGGGGAGAGGTTATGCAACAGGCAGCTAGCGGGGTTTTGGGGCAGGAATTGGGGGGAGTAGGAGGAAAATGAAAGCAGAATCTGGCAAGGCGGGGAGTGGAGCCTTGAAGGGGATGGCAAGAAGTTTTAATGCACAAGGGTCGGCAGGGGACAGTGAAGATGATTTAAAGGAGGGGTTCTGGGAGACTAACTGCATGGTTTTCTTCTGGTCTCTGAAATAGTTGGAGAGGATTTTTTTCTGTAGGTCAAGTATATAAACTAGATGTCCTTCTGGAGATGAAATAGAATTCCTTCTAGAGTTTTAGAAGAGGAAATCAGCAGTATTTAAAACTTGCCAGCGAGACGGAAGAGAGGACAGAAAATTAAGAGGTTTTGGTGTCTTTCAAAAATACTTTGCAAAACAGTGAAAATACATGATGTTAAAAAATACATTAAGTAATAGTTGTTAATTGGAATCAAGGGTGAGCACTGTATATTGAGATTATTTGTAGGACACTGCAAAGATGGGAACACCGAAAAAAAAAATAGGTGTGAAGCATCTGGTGAATCCATCCATGAGACAGTATAAAATAGAGCTCTCTAAAATATAAAACATTTTTTTTTCTGCTGTTACCTCTCAGTCTTAATGCAGTGACTTAAAGCAATAACTTTTCATAGTTTACCTTTACTTCTGCATAGACCTTGTACATATTTATTTTAACTTATTTAACCATAAGTTTTAAGTATAATTACTTTAAGGCTTTTAGATATTTATTTAAAACTATAAGGTCATCAAATGTAAATTGTGAATGAACTTTAAAAAAAAAAAGTTGTGCTGCTCTGGCTTATCAGGAAATGGCAGGTCTGAGAGATAGGTAATGCCCTCTGGTCTAGAAGATAACCTTGGCTTTTTTAATAACAACTTTTTGTGGGGGAGGGAGTGAATTGTGAGATGGAAGGAATTGAGAAAGGAGGCTCTTGATTCAAAGGGTCCTGCCTTCCTAGACTTTCAGGAAGTGGTCAAATTTACCGCTGGTTCCTTAGGGCTCCAATCTGGGGACCGTTAGAAAGATGCCAGAAATTAATCTTGATTATAGTACTGGGTTGGTGGTATGGGAGGCTGACAGTGTCTTTTTTTTTTTTTT